AGATTTTTTACACGATGTTTTAAATCTTACAAATTAATAGTATTATTTCTACATATATCAAAGTATGTTACGCAAATGTATATAGAGTTCTGTTCGATTTTGGAAAACGGAGTTGAACGAAGGAGTTTGTCACTTTATTCCTCTGCATTATATTTTCCATTGTTATCTACAATCCATTCGTTGCCATCTTTTCGGTAGGTTCTTAACGTCGTCTTTATAGAATTGATCCTTTGTTTCCATACGTTTTCAGCCTTGAAGTTTATATGTCCGCATCTAAATTTTTGAAAACACCGTCGGCATCTACGTTGTGACATAGCATCCTCCCCAAAAACACGACATACAGGTCAATGTTAAAAATAGACGAATCTCAGCGCAGAACGGAAATCAAAAATTCCTTTAAAGCATAATTCAACACATTCAAAGGAATGCAATATCCATTTCTTCGAAAAGCGATAGGAAAGTTATTTCAGAGATGGAATTAAACACAACACATGTTCTTTGATCCTACTTCTTTCGAACGACAATCTATCAGTGACATAATCATTTAGAAAATTAAACAAACATTATAGTAAATTGATGTTTAATAAAACGGAAAATACATAACGATAGAAATGATGGGAACGAAAAAATTCTTTTATAACATAACATTTACATTTTGAACAATTAAAAAGTGGATATTATTTAGTCTGGAAATAATAGAATTTTTAATAAACTAACGTAAATATAATAAAATATTGATAATTGATGCTTTGCCCTTAAACCTCGTCCTCGCTTTCTTCAGATTATAAACCATTTGTAAAATAATTATTGAAAAGCTTGTTATTAACATTATCTTTCAGAAATATGTACTACCAATCGCGTTACTCCTTATTATTGTACTTCCTCCGTAACATCACGCTTTGACAACCTTTCCAACGTTCCATTTTTATCTCTAATATCTTCTGACGCTACCCAGCAATAGGTTTGCTTTTGACAAAGAGAAATAGTGATGAGTGAGAAATAACTAAAACAAGCGAACCCTTAATGTGACGTTCCATATGAATATGCGGTGTAATTTATCTCATTTTATCGTTTGCCCGGTTACATTCTCTCTTTCCCCCGCTTCCCTCTTCACCCTTTTCTCTTAAGCTTGACGAAATGCTACAAACCGCATTCACCCTCCATAAGGTCTCACTTCGCACGATACGAGAGAGAAAGTAGGAAGACACGATCGATAGAGTGAGACAAGCTTTACTGCACGTCCTGTAGCCAATAACATAATGTTCTCATGTTATGTACCGTCTCACTCGCTCAGCACTAACTCTCTTTGCCTCTAGCCATGGGGTAGCAGCGAGTCATCAGTCAAGATAGATGATGACAAAATAGATTTTACTACTTCTGAATGTCTCGCGAAACCACTAAAAACACGTGACGCTGCAGAAACAAAACTGTAGAACTCGTGAAGCACGGAACGTGATAAACGCATTATTTGCACAAATATGTTTAATAGTCATGTACTACTTGTTTTTTGTAGCTTTAAGAATAGAAACCCCTTTACGCTTATAGCGAACTATTATTACCTTATCACTGCACACAGTTTATTATCACTATTCACAGAGCTTGTAAAATTTTTAAAACTATTTAATTTGAAGGATGAATAGTTCATCCAATTTAATACAGATATGATAGTTGAAGTTTTATCTTTGATAACTGTTGCCTTAATCATTCTCGTGTTTTTCTATGAAATAAGAAACCCTTATTAACAAAAAGAAAAAATAATAATTACAACGTAGAACTTCCTTCTAGATGTTACTTGTTGTTATTGATAGAAAGTTAATATGCTGTGTGATCCACACAATTGTACAAGTCATAGTCTTCTTCTCGATACAAAGAAAAAAAATATTAAAAAGAAATAAGGAAGTTAAAGAAAAGTGGCTCAAATAGTAATTAATACTATAATGGAAAAAGAATAATTACATAACTATATTTCAGACACCTACTTAAATTCATTGTTGTACCCGTTAAATTATTTGAAATTAAAATTAATTGGTAATTGTAAGTTCAGATAAATGATCAGTTATTATATGTTATTCATTATCAAAAATGATATTTACAGATATGAGAAATACCTATAAATATTTATATTCCACAGGACAACGAGCATGGTGTCCAGTTTCGCAGGTGATAATCAGCTATCCGTTGGAGTCAGCGGTGGCAATGGCAGTATTAGTGGGCCACTTGGAACATTTAGTTCACTTGGCACACTTAATACAAAACCACTTTCTTCGAGCTCCTCTTCTGCCTCTGGGCGTAGCGAGGATGCACCGCAGTATGGTAGCCTTCCAGGTAGTGATCACCAGGGTCACTCGCAACAGGATGACAGTGGACCTGAAGAAAGCCCTGTGTATATTTTAACATCTGCTAAGGGTGACTTCAGTTACAAGTTAACAGATTCCAGGTGAGTCTATTTTTTAAATGTACAATAATAATTTGAATAGAATCTTTCTTGTATTATGATCCTTAACCGTATGTAAAGTATAAATTTAATAAATTTGTATATTAAATATTGCTAAATATTAACTGATGCTAAAATAATTGATAATTAAATTATTCTTAAATACACCTGGAGAATAAAAGACATTATTGTACTACAAAAACTAAGAAAATATTTAATATTACTTATTTAACAATAAACTAAAAAGTGTTACATAATTAATGTTATAGTTGGATATTATGTCACAGTTAATATTCTATTTCATTAATTACATTTATAATATAATGTTAAATTAACAAATACCTTACATCTTTATTTTTTATAATATTTCTCTTATAGGACTCTAAATAAAAATAAAAAATTACATTAAATATAAAATAATATTGTCTTTAATATTTTACATACTTTTGTACAGCATAATTTTATTATTGAAATTACAAATAAAGATTTGCAATATGCTTATGAAAAAATTACATTGGTTTAGTATATTTTTCTATGAATACTTCCTTTATTAATTTTTAAGCCAGAAATTAATTATTACCGATTCTATTCAAATGTTTATGGTGCATACACAATATATAATAGAAGAAACTATCGAATGCTGCAAAGATTTTACCCGCATTCAGAAACAATCGATAAACATGTCAATGACAATCGAAGTATAGTCGATAAATATTATGCAGAAGTGGTGTTAGGTTAGATGCAATCACTGTCGATTGCTAGTTTTCTTTATGACATTTACTGTAAAAAGATATAACAGTGAGTGTAAATTAAACGTAACTGTGACAATAAAATTTTAAACAATCAAATTTATTGCTAAAGTGAAAGAATATATTAATTCACACTGAAACATCGATGCACTCTTTGTTTATGTTACTTTAAGTTTATTAATATCAGTAGCTGTTAAATAATGATTTGAATTAAGATCAGTAAATTTTATCAATAAACATTCTAAATTCTTATTTATATACACTAAATCATGTTGAATACTAATTTATTAAAAAATATGTATAAACGTAGTACAAGTGTTTTTACTGATAGTTTTTCATGTTCCTAATATAAATTTTTTTTTAAAGAATGACATGCTAATTATTTGTAACCACTTAGAAATATATATCAATAGTATAATAATATTTTATAATTCTATAATTTGATTGTAAACAACCTTACG